AGGGTGTGCGCTGACTTTGACCGAACGCCCAGTGGCTTTCACAAGGCCAAAACCTACAAAGAAGCGTTTGATCTCCACTCCTCTGCGGGCGGCTTCCTGCACCTGATGCAACGTTTGAAGGATTCTGTACCCCACACAGATTTCCTAGCCGCTGAGACGCCGCTGAAGAGTCAATGGATGCAGGGCTTTCTGGATTCCGACATCCACCACATGTTGGAGGAATCGGTTCCCCCAGCAGACCCCAACCAGGTCTCTGCGTTCAGGCCAAGTTGGTTTTCATGTTAGTTTGCATGGTTTGAAGCAATTTTCGCTTTTGAAGGAAGCGCATATATTTGTTCACTTGCGCAGGCCTTTCCTCAGCCAGGTCGAGAAGAGATTGCAGATCGAAAAGGAAGAGAAGGCCGCGGCCCTATCCAAGAAGGTTGCTCAGGCTTCGCTGGAGCAGCTCGAGGCAAAGCTGGGCATAGACATGGCATCGCTAGAGAAGCATTTACCATCGAAAGAAAGCGCAGCTGCGGCTACACAGCTGGACATGAAGTACATCAAGACCAGACAGAGGACCTTAAGTGGTATGGCACAAATGTGTGGTCATAGTTCGCTTTAAATTTACTTTGCAAGCAGAGGAAAACGCAAAGTTTGTTTGCAGGACTGGTTCAGAGTGGGTGGACAAGTTCATGGCGGAGCATTGCCATTTAGTGACAGTTGAAGACAATTTGCAGAACGGCTTCCCGCGCTTTTTAAAATTCATGGACCAGTTCCGGAGTGCATCCGGGAAAGTGTGTCTTCATCTTCTGGAGAAGCTTTCAATATTTGCTTGCAAGGGTTGAGTTCTGAATTCTTTTCAATTTGATTTCGGTTTCGGAAGTTGGTTGATGCATCAGGTATGTGATTGCGGGTGTGGACTTTACTGTGTGGCCGCCCAACGCTTTGTATGTCAAGAATGCAATGGCGATCTCGCAGTCGACTTGCGCAATCTCGCCTGCTACGATGGGATTCTTGCAATTCCCACAGTATCAAAGCCAGACGACTGTTGGGGCCTTGTTGAAGCACCGCCGCGCAGCCGAAGAGTCCCTATTGAGCGCGGATTTGAGCTTGACCCATGGCATCACTTTGCTTTTTTCAAAGCCTACCTCGACGGCTAGGGATTCGAGGAACTCCACGCAGCAAACGCTAGCTGTTTTCAGCAATTGCTTCTCTGATCCAGCTTTCGCCGAGAGCGAAGCTGTGACAGCACAGACTTTGGGACCACTACCCCTTGCCCGAGTAGCAGATCTCATCGGCTATGATGAAGAGTCCAAGCCATCTCCCAGCGCTCGAACCGAGCAGACCCTTATGCCAAGTTGAGAGTCTTCTTTGTAACACGCTTAACAGTTTGGCGGTGCTTGCAATATTTTTCTGATAGTTTATATCTCATGTTTCTCATCCATCCAGGAAAGGGGTGGAATGCCATGTCGGTATTCTGAACGGATTGATCAAGGGCATGAAGATCAACAAGGAGGTCGACAAGATTGTATTCTTCGACATCGTCCCAAATTCGCACCTTGTTCAAACATGTAGCTTGCTTTCGATAATCCTTGCTGTGATACGCTGTCCTTTTTGAGGCAATGCGAATTCGGTAGGGCAGCTTTGGAACGAGTGCTTTCAGCAAATCGCCATGATTCACCTATTGAGTACATTGGCCTAGTTTTGCAGAGCAATTTTTCAGCGGTCAATGCCGCATTGAGAAGCAAGATCTACCAGTTTTGGGATGAGTCGGCAGAGTCCCCACCAAAACGTCGACCCCAAGAAGCAGTGAACCAGGGATCAATTTCCTTGGAAGTCCTTGGCTTCAGCGATGGCAATCCGTTTTTCCCAACGGCTTTGGTCGAGAAGTTTGCTGAAGGGTCAGAGGAGTATGAGATCATGTTGAAGAAGAAGACTGCGTTTGAATTGAAATATCCCCCGCCAGCACCTTCGAGAGCAGGAGGCCCTGCGCGTCCTGTCTCTGTCCGTGTGGGCGGCTTGTGCGACTACAGCGTTGCAGGCGGAGAGAAGCCGCTTGATTTTGAGCGCCTGATCGATTTGCCCTTCATCAACAGTGGTGAGTTTGCCGATGGGAGGTGGGGCTGTTGTTGAAATTCCGGTTGTTGTTATTGTGAATGTTGAGATTGCATTAAAGGGTTCTTGTGCAGGCTGGGCCTATGCCCAGGAAAAGGAGGAGAACCCAGCATTGCCATTGGCAAGAACTATGAGGTGTTCATTGGCAATGAGTCCGATGTGCAAATTAGCATCAAGCCTGGAGAACTATTTGGCTTCGGAGTTGGCCGTTTCGAGGAAAAGGTGATTGAAGGCCCCCTGTTTCAATTCCTTCTTTTGCCAGCTGCATCAAAGGATTCTTCCAGTCTGTGCTGTTTGGCCGCAGGATCAGGCAACGCAGAGAAGACAGGTTTGGCCTTCAGACTTGGGAGTGATCTGACCCTTGTATCGATGGGGAAGAAACTTCAACCAGTATGTGAGCTACTGCGGCAATTGGCAACCAACCATGGCATTGGCGACATCACCTTCGAAGATCACGTGTGCAAGGGCAAAGTTCTTGTTGAGGCCGGCGAGTCATTTGATGTGAGTTTGTTTCAACATTAGGATCCAGTTCTTGCTGTTGTGCTTGCCAGGATGGCGCTGAGGAATCGGCGGTGCCGTTTCGATATGATCTGACCCCGAACGCATCGAAAGCGTGCAACGTCTTCAAGTCGAGTCCACCTTCGGCAAGCATCAACCATTCAGCTCATCGTCCCCAGACACTGGGAGTTCTTTTCAGGGACCAGTATGACAAGGTCATCCGCAACAAGCGGGCTTCATTGACTTGGGAAGCAGCTCTCACATAATTCACGTCTTGTCCCAGTGTTGGTTTGAAATTGGAATTGAAGAATGAGAGCTGAAGTTACTTCGGTTCAGTCCTTATATTATACTAAGCTGTCCCAGGTACATTTCCAGCCTTCACCTCCAAAGCTGCTGGTAGTGAAACCGAAGGTCTTTTTGACCTGTGAGCTGATCCTGCCTCCAGGCAAGTGGTGCAATTTGTCAGCATAGTAGCCCACCTTTGAGTGGTGCAGTTTTGGTGGAAATGCCTAGCTCTGGTAGCGAAAGGCTGAACTTTCAAAGATGGTTGAGCGAGAAGACGCAACCCTAGAAATGACTTTTTCGTTTTATTGCCGCATGTTGAGTGCTTGGCTGGCTTCTGTGTGTGTACATTCTTGTGGTGAACGCAATCCCTCGAAATCACTCAAATTAAATGAGCGCAGCCATTCTAGCCGCGTTCCTGGCCATGCCCGTGTTCACGAATGTGGATACGTTGTCGGGGGAGGAGGTGCACTGGTAGTAAAATGTGTGTATGTAGGTTTGTTTTTGGTGTTATTCACTGTCAGGAAGTCCCTCGCAAGAGGCCCTCTGCTTTGCTCAAGCCTGAGCATGAAGAACCGCAACCGAAAAAAGTTCCAAAGACCCTTCCAAAAAAGAAAGCTGAAACGGTAGATGCAAAAAAAGAAAGGGGAACACATGGAGAGACTAAGTCAGCAAAAAATAAAAAGGAACCTGAGGAAGTTGAGGAAACAAAAGAAGAACGTGAAGTAAAGAAGCGACCAGCAGGCGAGACTCGAAAATTTGTTTGCAAATTCTTAAGTTGAGGGATGTTTCAAAACTTAGCATTGTTCAAAACTCCTGCGCAGGAAAGGAACGCAAGATCTCCAACCCTTATTGGATTAAGTGCTCTCAGAAATGGGGTATCAAGGTTGACGGCGCTGAAAAAGTGCGAGTTTCTTGGTTTTCATTCCTTTGCCGGGTCAACGATGGTCAGCGTTTATCATATTCCATATTCAATGTAGTTCGTGCTGGGTTCCCCTCAGGTTGGAAACCGATTCGATAATCCAGAGTCAATGAAAGAGATTGCTGCCATGGGCTCAGAAACAATTTCTGATATATATATAATTATAGATGTATGGCTGGTTCCTTTATTCTTTCACTGCCCAGGTGCTCGCGCGACAACATTTGGTGGATGGGGATTCTATTGAGTCAGTCAAAACCATGGTCGCTTTCTGTCTGAAAGTGTGTGTGTTTATTGGAAGCGCTTGATGTTCTTTTATCCCAAATTTCCCAGGAAGAACTAGAGAAGGCCACCCGGGACAAGAATGCCAGTGCTCCGAAGACTGAAGCGAAAGTTGAGAAGCCGGCAGGCCATAATATCCAACGATGCTACTACAAACGGTGTGTTTGTGTCTGTTGGCAGGCGATGAATCTGCCCCAGCTGATGCTGAGCAGAAAGAAACTGCGGTAGAAGAGCCTGAGGGTGAAGGGGGTGAAGGGGGTGAAGAAGGGGACGAAGAAGAAACCCCTAAAGAGCAGGATGCCGAAGTCCCCGCAGTTGACTAAAAGGTCACAAGGGGCAGCTGACAGCAAACTGAAGCCGACCAGGCTGAGCTTGTGACGGGTGAAAGAAAAGAGAGTGGTGTGGCGGCGCTTCTCTTGTTTGTAGTGTGTGTCAAAAAATCAAAGGCCATACAAACCACTAGCAACAAAACCCATAAGTATATAAAATATATTTAAAAATATATATTTCCAACTTGGCTCAAGGATCTAGATCCATTTTCCAAAAAACAGTTCAAGCCAAAGGCTTCCAATATACCCCTGGTTGTGGTTCTACTGTCACAGTCTCATGATCATACTCACTGGTCGGCAGCAGCTTTTGAAGCTGATAGACTGGTAGTGGAGCACTGTCTCAAAGCCATCTCGATGGAACACCCATTCATTTTGGAACACCCATTCAAGGGAAAATTCTTTACTAATAGCGATGGCCTCTGACCGAATGGTGATGGCCTCCAACCTACTATGATATTAGATTGTACGGAGACTTAGGCTGGAGAAGTTGGGACACGTGCGCATGTTCTGATGAAGAGGTGTATATGACACGTTCTTGGTTCCTTCAGATGTCGGATGCAAAGAGATTTGTGGAACCTGTAGCATCGTTTGAGGTGAGGTCGACGCTGCCTTGAACAGTCTCGGCGGCACCCGTCTTTGTGATTTGGGCGCGTGCGATGTAGATGGAGCATCCTTTACCTCTGATTTTGAGGATTGGTGACTGGGCTCAGGGGCTCAGGGGAATTCCAGGATAGTGTCGGACTTTCTCAATTTAAATGTAGTGGATCGGATGAGATGCACGCTCTTGATACCACATGACTTTAACGCGGGTTGATTGATTTCTGATGTTTGGGTTTGATGAGGGGCAACATGGGGCAACAGTCTGGCATCTTGAAGCCTGTGGCATTGCACAGGTGGGTGTTGGGTGTGTTTCATCCATTGGAGAGTGACGCAATACTTGGAGAGCTTTTATCCCAAGCCATGTTGATTGGTCTTTGAGGTTGTCCAATTTGTTGCAAACCATCGGCGCTGCAGAGAGCACAGACCACGACGAGGGCCTTACTGGAATTGACGAGCCACTGAGCGTGAACATATTGTTTGCTTTGTTTCCATGTAACTTGTATGGAACTAGGACACTGCCGATACACCCCCATTTCTTCAGCTATTCTGAGACTTCCTGTTTTGCTTGCTGCTTGAACGTCTAAGGTTTGTGGTGGCAACGCATGCGGATGGTGTGAAGATAATGAAGGAACCAGGCATTGTTCTTGCAGCCATCAAAGAGGGTAAGGAGGCTGCAGCCAAGGCACTTGGCTTGACTGAGAAGCTTGGCTTTGATGATTGTGATTGACTTCATGCAATTTTGCTTTTTGATCCAATTGCTTGACTGACGCTTGATGCCAACTACTGCTGTACGTTCCGCTGTTCTGCTCACTGTTGGCTGTTGCCCAGGCCTGTTGATACCCATCTGAAAGCCTTAGAGATTGTTGAGTCGCCCAGAGAGCTTTGCCAAAAGCCTCAAGACCGAAGTGTGCGCCACGTGACCCTGCGACTCCCCACAGGCTCAAAGTATCGCGCTGGTGATCATCTAGAAACTCAGCTTGGGCTTAAACTGTTTGTTGTTTTTTGTTTTTAATGTCTTTCCCCGAATGCGTAGCGAAGGGTTCTTGTTTAACTCTGGGGTTCTGGGGGTATAGAGCCTTGTTCGCGACCCGTTGTCTCAGCGGTCGCAACCGTTGTCAACCGTCCGCAACCGTTTGCAACCGACCGCCGCCGACCGCCGTAGGGCGCTAAGGCGCTGCCATTGCGGGAAGCTTTTGGAGAAGCGTGACGTGTCAGATTCGTGTGAATTAGCGAGGAAACGTGTGGAAACGTAAGATGTTGAAGTATGGAGGATGATTTCACTGCGCAGGCGCAGCGTTTTGTGAGATCCGCAGTTGTCTGCACAATCCCAATGGCGCTTGGAGAGTGGTGTTTTTGGGTTGTTGGATGTGCCTGTGACATTGGGTTTTGCGTTTCAGGGTGTTGTCAGAATGCGTCGAAATCATTCCAGACGTGTGGCGTGGTGCAAACTTTGTTGAAGCTCACATGATATGATATTGTCACTTTTCGTGGCAGGGGCAGTGCTTTGTGTGGGTTTTGAGGTTGTTCGTGGCAGGCGCAGGGAATTGTGAGGTTGCGAGGTGTGCCGGAGGTCACATTTCGTGGCAAGCGCAGTATTTTGTGCATGTTAGACGTGTGGACGCGTAAGTTTTTCGTGGCAGGCGCAGGGAATCGTGAGGTTGCGAGATGTGGTGGGGGTGAATGTCGCTGTGACATTGGGATTGGCGTGTGAGCGGGCGTTGTTTGGAGGGGCTGGAATCGCGAAACTGCTTGGCAGGGCTGCTTGATGTATGTGCTCCGATGGGGCTTCCCGCTTGACTTTGGAAGAAGTCTCGTACCAAATGCTCGATTTGGAGACTTTGACGGGTGAGTTTTGCAGGAAATCTCGTACGAAAAACATTCGTTTTGGAGACTTGACGCGTGACTTTTGGAGGAGGTCTCGCGCGAAACGCTTGTTTTGCAGACTTGACGCGTGACTTTTGGAGGGAAGTCTCGTACGAAACGCTTGTTTTGCAGACTTCAAGTGTGAGTTTTTGAGGAAGTCTCGTGCGAAACGCTCGTTTTGGAGACTTGACGAGTGAATTTTAGAAGAGACGTGTGACTCTTGGAGGAAGTCTCGAACGAAACGCTCGTTTTGTAGACTTGAAGTACAGCAGTGTCCAACCAGATTTCCTTCGAGAGTGTCCCACAAAAATTGCACAAGAGTGTCCCACAAGAGTGTCCTACAAGACTGTTTCGCAAGCGTGTCCTACCAGAGTGTCCCACAAGAGTGACAAACAAGAGTGTCCCACGAGAGTGTCCCGCAAGAGTGTCCTACAATAAAGTTCCGCAAGTCCCACAAGAGTGTCCTACGAGAGTGTCCCACAAGAGTGTCCCACAAGAATGTCCTACAAGAGTGTCCCACGAGAGGGTTCCGCAAGATTGTCCGACTAGAGTGTCCTACAAGAGTTTCCTACAAGGGAGTCCCACAAAAGTGTCCTACAAGAGTGAGAGTGTCCCACAAGATTGCCCAAGAGTGTCCCACAAGAGTGTCCCACAAGAGCGACAAACAAGAGTGTCCCACAAGTTTCCCGCATGAGCGTCCCACGAAATTTTCCTACAAGAGTGTCCTACAAGAGTGCCCCCAAAAGTGTCCTCCAAGAGTGTCCCACAAGAGTGTCCTGCAAGGAAGTCCCACAAGAGTGTCCTACAAGAGTGTCCCGCAAGAGTGTCCTACAAGACTGCTTCGCAAGAGTGTCCCACAAGAGTGACAAACAAGAGTGTCCCACAAGAGTGTCCCGCAAGAACGCCCCACAAGAGTGTCCTACAAGAGTGCCCCACAAGAGTGTCCTACAAGAGTGTCCTACAAGAGTGTCCCGCCAGAGTGTTCCACAAGAATGTCCACCAAGAGTGTCCTACAAGAGTGTCAAACAAGAGTGTCCTACAGGAGAGTTCTGCAAGAGTTTCCCACAAGAGTGTCCTACGAGAGTGTCCCACAAGAGTTACACACAAGAGTGTCCCACAAGAGTGTCCTGCAAGAGTGTCCCACGAGAGTGTTCCACAAGAGTGTCCGACAAGAGTTTCCTACAAGGGAGCCCCACCGCATGAGTGTTCTACAAGATTGCCCAAGGGTGTCCCACAAGAGTGACATACAAGAGTATCCCACAAGAGTGTCCCGCAAGAGTGTTGCACAAGAGTGTCCGACAAGGGGGTCCTACAAGAGTTTCGCACAAGGGAATCCCACGAGAGTGTCCTACAAGAGTGTTCCGCAAGAGTGTTCCACAAGGGCGCCCAAGACTTTCCCACAAGAGAGTCCTACAATAATTTTCCGCAAGAGTGCCCCACAAGGGTGTCCTACGAGAGTGTCTCACAAGAGGGACACACAAGAGTGTCCTGCAAGAGTGGTTCGCAAGAGTGTTCCGCAAGAGTGTCCCACAAGAGTGAGTGTCATACAAGGTGTCCCGCAAGAGCGCACAAGAGTGTCCAACAAAGGTTTCCGAAAAGAATGTGTCCTACCAGGTGTCAAAAATTGTTTGGGTATTTGTTTTCGAGTACGTGTTTGCACTCGGGTTCGTGGGTTCCATCTTGTTTTACATATAGATATTTAACACGTGTTTTTAAGTGTTATTTATGATGTATGTTTCTTGAGAGCTTTGCGTATTTGAAATGGTAATGGAGGTTGGCTTGCCTTGCGGGAATTTTTCAATCAACCAACCAGCACATTCACATTCGACTTTGGAAAATCCGTTTAGAATGTTGGGCTAACCGTATTGAGACACCGCTTTGTTCGTTCATTGTGTGAACTTCTACCAGAACTGTCCTGTGAAGTGCAGTGACCAATCGATTCATTGCATCTCCTGATAGACAAGGTATTTAACGGTTTTGTCAGAGTGCTTGGCCACCAGCAGCAGCAACATCATAATCATATATATATATATTATATAATTATATATAAAGATAAGGATGAGGATGATGATGATGATGATCATGATCATGATCATGATTATTGATGATGATCATCATGATTATTGATGATGATCATCATGATGATTGTCGCACAACACAAACAATAATTTTTGTACAACACTCGAGCTTTCGTTTGTTGCCTTCACGTCGGGAAAGGAGATGCTGCCACCCAATGACCCAGCCTTGATCTCGATGACCATGGAGGCATTGAACTTCGACAAGGACGCTGTGGTTTGCTGGGACCCAGCAAAGCGCCAGAAGAAGTTCCGCAACTTGGTGCTGGAAGAGACAGTCTGGGCCAAGATGCCAGCAATGAAACTTGCCTAACAATTACTGGAGCAGTGAAACGTTTTCGGTCTGCTTGTTTTTTCCCCGAACACCGCAGGGTCGCAGAATCTGCGGTGGCGTGTTGTCGCTGCTGCGCGGGTGCTTGTGGGTTGAAGGTCCTGAGCCCTAAGAGTGGCAGCAGGAGATCGAGCATGTGCTTCTTTGAAGTGCTTCGTGGCAGGCACAGTCAAGTTACTGTGGATATGGTTTACATGTCCTACTGTAAGGGCTCAGGTTTCGTGGCAAGCGCAGCGCTTCCACCACCACCACCACCGCCACCACCACCACCGCCACCACCTGCTGCTGCTGCTGCTGCTGCTGCTGCACGTCCTCCTGCACCTTCACCTCCACTTCCACCTCCACCGCCACCAGTTTTCTCAGCCGTTTTTTTGGGAAAGCACTTCTGAGAAGCATGTTTTAGTTTAGATGATACTGATGTAGATTATAGACTTGGACGATTTTCAAGAGACCGCAAGCTTTCTTTGTCGACAGTTTGATTTGCTTGGTGCATCTTGGTGCTAAGAAAAGGTACATCACAGTCTCCGTGGTGATGCAGTGGTTCCCAGATTTGGCCAGCACACCAGATCGAAAGATCTGTGGGTTGCTCGCCGAAAGAGTCACTTCAGCGGAGGCCAAAGAGGAGCTCCAGTCTTTGGCCAAGGAGAGAGTGTCGTCGAATCGATTTTGACGGAAAGCGTTTCTTGAATTTTTTGTCCCCCTGTCACGTGGTGCAACGTACCGCTAGGATGATCGATCAGTCACTCACCATTATTCAAGTCAGCATGTGTGAGAAGCTCGCACTGCAGTAAGTCAAATAAGTCCTTTGGCCCATAGGGCCCATAGTATGCATCATGTTCCGACTCCTCAATCGGTCTCTAGTGAGCAAAAGTTTGCTGGAAGCCGCAGAGGACGCAGAGAAGTACAAGGCCAAGGTCTCTTCTTTGAACTTGTCATTGGCCGAGCTGTTGTACAAGTTCCTCAGCTGTGAAGACTGGTGTCAGACCGTCCGAAAGGGAAAGGGACGCAATTTCCATATTACTTTGTACGTGCCACACTCACCGTTTAGATCCCTTTAGGGAGGCACAAAAGATGCTTGTGCTGGTGCGATGCTTGTGGGTTATCTGAGGTTCAAGGGCCAGTTTAACTGCAGCCTGGGCGAGTTTGTAGCCATCGCCAAGTCCCTTGCCATTCGTCGCTACAGCGTGTCTTCCTCCCCATCAGCTCCTGGCGCCGATCCAAACGTGGTCACGATCACTGTTGGACAAGTGAAGTTCACCACTGGCACTGGAAGGCTGTTCTGTGTGGTAAACGGTGCAGTTTTGCTTCTTGAAGTGGAGATGTCTTGAGAACATGCTTTCATTCATGTGGTGCTGAACCAAGACTGCTCTAGTGGGTCTTTGCTCAACACTTGAAGAACTGCGCAACACAGATTGCTCTGGCAGGGTCCACCACGGCTTGGCCTCCACCTGCCTTGGTCAGCTACCGGTCGGAGGTTGCATCCCAGGAAATGTGCGCACTTTGCAGTCAGACTTTCACCTGCCGGAGGACAAGTCGGCACCTTTGACTCCAGAACAGGTGAAGATATTTGCGGATGTTTAAAGGATTTTGAAGATCTGATGATAGTGCAACATGTATTGCAATCACAAACCACACCATCAGTTGCAAGTTTGAAAACTACCATTTGCGAACCAGCCAAAGGGGTCGTAGCCGTTGACGTAAATAAACTCAGGCACCGATCATCATGGTTGGTCCTGGAACCGGATTGGCGCCAATGATGGGTTTCTTGCAGGATACTCTGAATGACTTAACACAATCTTTCGTTTGCGCAAAGAATTCCATTGTCCCAATGAGACAATGGAGAAGATGCGTTTGCGTTCTTTGTATTTGACTTTTCCTCGAAGGAGAGACTCTGGATTGTAGTGTAAGAACAGGTCTTTGTTGGTCGGATCGGTGTTGGCTCTGCGTTCTTGGAGCGCATCGTGATTCGGGTTGACTCGGGCTCTCGGGGAAGAGGAACGTGAAGCGTTGTTGAAGAAGAAGGAGAAGCTGGGAGAGGCGATTCTCTTCTTTGGCTGCCGTGCTCGTGACGCAGACTACCTCTATGTCATTTGGCAAAAGGGACCCCGATCGAATGTTGTGGATCTCTGGGTATTTTCGGTTGGTGCACGGTTGTTGCAGAGAGATTGAGCAGTAGTTATTGTATATGTGTGTAGTATGCAGTCTCCTGATGATGTTACTGATGTTCCTTTCATTTCTTTTCTGTGAGGACATTTACCCTCTCGTTTCAACCTTTCGCTTACAGCCATAACGTTCGAATTTCATACAGGGTAAGACGGTGAAGGGCGTTTCTGCATACTGATCATGATTGGAGTGCTGACTTCATTCCGTCATGGTGGGTCTCAAATTGACAAGTTTGTCAAGGAAACAAGGGCCCAAGACGCAAGATAGGTGACAATGGTACACGCCAAGCCTTCACCTTCCGGTGCTCTGTCCGAATTGCTCGTTGAGGAGAAAGAGCTGGAAGCACACTTGAAATCTGGAGCCCTTTCCACCCTGCACGTGGCCTTCAGTCGGGAAGCCGGCGCCTTGCCAAAAAGATGTTTCGGGCTCACCAGGTCGCAAGCTGGTTCTCAACAACCCCGTTGCTGAATGCTGCTCAATGACTCAAGCTCAAGTTTTGTCCATATATACTATATTTCGTATACTTCGATCTGATCATCTTCATATATTTTTATATAATTCTTGTAGCCAAGGTCAAAAGGTCTACGTGCAAGACAAGATTTGGGAGCAACGTGCCTTTGTTCACTGCAAGTGGCATCATTTGAGACTGAGACAAAGATGGTAAGAGTAAAAAGGGAATCTTACTTTTACCATCCACGAGAGTGCTGTGACACTGTGTGTATTGCCAAGGCGCGGAGGTTTGGCGTGTTTTGTCAAACCCCAAATCGATGGTCTTCATTTGTGGAGATGCTCGTGCCATGGCACCAGATGTGAAGCGAAGCTTCCAGCGTGTCATTGAGAGTTGTGGCGGAAGAAGTACCTCAACGGCTGCAAATTTGCTGGCTAGCATGGTTGAGGCCGGGGCTCAACTCCGAGAAAGTGGGTGGGGTTAGTGACAGCGTGTAAATGATTCTTGTTTCAAGAAAAGAATGAAGAAAGCAAGGCAGAAAAAATGCCAAGTTTTACCGTAGAAGCAAGGTTCCTTCAAACATCTAGGAACAAAATTCGAAATTCGGTAGCTTTCTTGCTAGCTGATCTCTTCTGCTCCTTTTGAAAGGGTGGATCTTCCCAAGGCAAATGAAGGAACCGGTCACAGTGGATGGACTTTCCTTTTCCTCGTAGCGTCTTTGCTCCTAGTAGTGGCAAACCCCACATCGAGCTCAGGCCCCTACCCCGGTGGCTTTCTCATGGCCTACCCCGCCCCAAACTTGACTTTATTGTCTAGGGGTAACGAACTTAATCTAACGACTGGCAACGAAGTCCATCTCCAAGGCGAAGGTACCTCATGCTGGGGTGCTTTTGGACTCTCTAAATCTTCAGAGTTTTCGTTGAGCAATTCAACACATGATTCATGGTGATTCAAACGAAAGGAAAACGCTCGTGGTCTGTTTTGCTTGACGAGGCAAGCCGCTATTTGGAAGATGTTTGGGCGTAGAGATCTGACATCTTGGTGAGCAGTGAGCAGCTAATTGGCCCGCATGTCCGCACGCATAGAGCGTGACTGAGGTCTTGTTAGGGTCTGCTTGTGGCTGTACAGATTGGGCATGTCCTGATGCTAGTCTAGTGTTTTGTTACCCTCCATGCCTTGATACAGACGCCGCGGTTCGTTGGCAGGCAGACTGGAGTTCCAGGTAAGGCAACATTTGCTTTGCCATTTGATTGATTGTTGCACGAAAATGAGTTCGTTAATCCAAGTTAGTTCGACTTTGTCGGGTTGATTTGCATATGCCCACTAATTATGTGATTGAACCGTGAACAGGTGAATTTGAGGGAGATTTGTGAGGGAGCAACATACCGACAGCCTGTCGAATGTTCAACAAGTGCTGGACTTGGCCGCCAGGTTCCCCATATGCCTGGCCAGCCACTCAAGGACCCTTTGCAAAAAATCAGTTAACATCGACTGATCCACCGGTTGTAAGTCGGAGCTGATTACAACTTGTTTGTCTGTTGGTTAATATATGTTACGTAATTTATATATATATATACACAATATATATATATATGGGTTTGTATTTTTGCCGTTTACTTCCTGATGTAGTGGTTGGAATTTTGCCGTTTACTTACTGATGTAGTGGTTGGAAGTTCGACTTGGCTTGAGCGATTCATACCCTCGAATCATACCCCCGAAATATATCCCTCAAAAAGGCAGGTGTAAGAACTACTTGTAGGTGTTAAGGTGAAGCTTTTGGTTGGTCTTTTTGCCTTATAGATGTCCATGAGCCAATGGTGCGTGACATTTACACTTGTGTTATAAAATTTGGACAAAATTGTTTGTCGTCTTGTGGGAAGAGCAAAGGCTCACATCTCAGGGGTACCAATGTTCCCATGCGCTCTCCCTTTGGAAGAAGAGCCAACGGATCGCCTTCTTTTGCAGAATCTAATGGCCACATGAATCATATGAGCCGATTCATGCCCGGCTCATACCCGAATCACGCACCTCCACAGTCTCCCATCCCACATCCTGGCTGTTTTGGTGGGCGTGCAGAGGGCCACTGGTGTGCACAGTAGTCAAAAAGGGCCGTTTGGGGTCTTTGGTGGAAGAGTGCATTTGCCTTGTCTGCCCAGCAACCAACAGATGCTGCTTGCCTACTGCCTCACGGCGCAGAAGTGGGCCCACTGCTGGAAGTCCAGCCAATCCAACACTACTACTTTAGAGCTGCGAGTCATCTGCGAATCATACCCTCAAATCATACCCACGAATCACACCCAGAATCATACCCTCAAACCATACCACCTATTCAAACTTCCCGGCCAGACTCCAGTCTCAAATGAATAAAATGCACACCCATATAATGTATATGTATATATATATAAAATATATTGTCGCACACTGTATCTATTAACATATATATGTATATATCAGTGTTGGATCCTAGCGTGAGTGTAGATCGAACCACCTGCAATGTAGTGGTTTGTGATGTCATTTTGCACTTGCATTGCGTATCCACCTGTCGCCAATAGGAGATGTTTGCCCGGATGAAGGCCCTCGAACCACGGCTTTTTGAGGCCTGCGTAAAAATGATTTGGGCCATCGCCACTAGGTTGGAAACCATCGCTACTAGGGTGGAGGACATCGCTATTGGATTGGAGGCCACCGCTATTAGGTTGGAGGCCATCGTTAGTGCAGTGGATCCTTTGTTTGGGCAGAAGAGTGTTTTTGGACTCTCAAGACTCAGCAATGTCAGAATATTCCAGAATCGAAAAACGTTGCCTCCAGTTTGTTTTTGCAGGATAAACACTTCAATGATATCTTCCGGGATTTGCCCAAGGAGTCAGTCACTGCATTTTTTGTACACCAAGCACGCTTACAAACCTTCCTCAGTACAATCTCTTATTATCTCTTATTTTTATATTTGAGAACATGGCAGCCTAGCGACACATGCTCCTCATGTTCCATTCTTCAGGACTGGCGGTACCACCTGCAACGCATCGCCTGGGCTGAAAGAACCAGAATCTTCACGGAGGAGTCGCCAGGCTCCTTCGCAGGGCAGGCTACTTGGCAGCATGTGAAACATGTCCGTTGGGACATGAGAGCGGCCTCAAAGGCCTCCTGTGGTCTGCCACTGCCAGTGGCAGTTATGTTCAACATTGATTGCATCCATGTGAATCACGCACAAACCCTTCGTGTCCCAAACAGGAGGAGTTGCTGGTGCCGGCAATCTATCATACCCAGCGTCCTGACACTGCCAGGGGCACAGTTGCATATCTCCTGGCATGGAGTTGCATCGCAGATCCATGATGGGAACCACCAGACGAGTCTAGCCAGAGAAACCACTTGTTCTTTGCGTGTTTTGTATCAGTAAAATGAGAGGGACCCTTGAAAGTACACTTAGCAGGAGAGTCGCATTGACATCATCCACGGACTTTGCTGAAGCTGAAAGCTGCTGTAGCTTTGTAGGCCACAATTTGTGTCGGCGTGTCAAGTTGAGCCCTCAGCTAGCACAAGACCATTTACGCTCAAGTTCACAGAAATCTCAGACACGTGGCTGGCTTTTCACATCCATTCTCTGCTGTGCAATAGGCACAAGCGCAGGCTTTGACCGGGGTCTCTTAGAAATGCATCGTCACCGGCATCAGGTTTCAGGTGGCTCAGGAGATTTGGTAGGCTTTTAAGTTGGCATTTGTTTTCGTTCCGTGCACCGAATCTGAATGGCCCAGTCAGTTTGCAACGTTGGGTACAGTGTGAAGATGTATGAACTCCAGGTTCCAACGACTCCAGCCCTTCTACTCCGCCAGCGCCCCAAGATGCACTGTTCGTTTCTCTCGGTGTCGTGGTTTGGATGTATGTTGCCATGTCAATTCGAGCCGTCACAGTTGGACTCGAGGCCGGTTTTAAGCTCCTATGAGTATGTGACTTGGCTGATTGATCGTTTGTTGCTCCAGCGGTTCAGAGTAGAAATCATTGACGGCCAGCGTCCAAGTGGTTGTCCATTCCCTCGTTTCCTCAGGACTTCCTGGAGCTGCTGTATGTCAAGGAGACTCAGCTTGGTTTGCTTGAACGCTGGTGGGAAATTGTTGCATTTGTTGTGATATGTTTGGACTAGTCACAGGCTGTATGTTTTTGCATCAGTTGAACATTTTTGAACATATTTAATATGGACTATGATCTAAAGGAGTGTTTGGATTTGCAGAAACTCTCAAGATCTCCTTTGCCAGGCTTGGAACCAACTATCAGCCACATTATCAACCAAATGTCGTAACAGTCAAAGTCAAAGATTTTCCCTCGGTTTGTTGCGTTCTCCTTTCTGGGGCCCTGGCTCTACCACAAAGTCAAGTGCCGAGCAGAAAGGATCAAGAGGGCAAAGTGGTGCAGGTGCGGGGTGTTCATAGCATTTGAAAGGGCGGCCGTATCCAGTAATACAGCAGATTTTGACAATGGCTCAAGCATTACTGGTACCGAATGACATCTTTGAACAGGTTCTTAAAAGCGCTTGTTTTTGAGCATTGTTTTTGTGTTTGTTAGTGTTCCCCACAAATATTCTGACATTTTTTGGGATGGCCAGTCGACTGAGCGACAGGTGGTTCCTTGGGAGAGCTGCGGCATCAAGCCTGCGATCTTCTGGCCTAAGCCTCGAGTCGATGAAGAGGCTTTGCTCCTTGTGGACCTATAGCACCTAGGAATGCTCGCACAAGGACGAGTAAAACGATATAAAATGATGTAAAACGCATTCCCTCCTTTGACTCTTTAGGGCTCCTAGCCACCACAAATGAAGTGCAATTTTCAATCTGTTCCTTTATGTATCCATTTGACGGCCTCCCTGATTCCTTTCCGAGGACATATAGCTTCCAGCCACCAAGAGGCCGCGAGATGTGGAACTTTGTGCCAATTTGTTATTGAAGTCTTGGTAAACAGATGTAAACAGAGCATTGATTTCAGCCCCCAAACAACGTTTTGTTGACAAACCTCACAACTTGTTGGCCTTAGAGTACTCTCCCTCGCCAGGAGTCGTCTATGACTCACACGACCAACTTGTGCTGTAGACTCTGGAGGTACCACCTCTCTCACTCCCTTCGCCGCCTTTAAGCTCAGAGGAGTCAGTGCCTCAGTTTTGGCCAGCTTTTGACAGCATCAGAATCATCCAATTTCCTTATGTTTGCTTTATGTTTGGCTCTTCAGAGCGAGAATTTCGGTGTGTTCTCTTTGCTTACTTGATGCGCACAGATTCGTAGCGTGTAGAGCTGCCAGCGCTGGCTTCAGGTCTGGCAAGGCGAAGCTGTGGAGTGGGATCCTTCACAGGGAAGCGAGGAGAGCTGAAAACAACCAGCATTTCTTAAGGAACAAACTTGAAGCATCTTCAAACGTCATCAACTGTGTTTGCCGTCTTCTTTTTCACGGCAATGATAAGTTAACAAGTTAGGCTGTTTCATGGAACCTGCACGTTCCCAGTTTGTTTCCAGGAGATGGACTGGTTCACCAACATGGCACCCGAACTCCGAAGGCAACTGACCGTGAACACCGACCGATTGGCTTCATCCAAGGAACTCCTCCATATTTAGACAAGTATATAATGGGTAAATTTTCCAACACGATAGGCTCCGTTGAGGGGCGTTGGACCTGTTTTTGGTGAGATTACCTATTGCACATCCACCAACTTTCCATCCAACTTTGCATTCTCAGCGCATTCTTTCAGGGAACTGGCTGATCCAAAGCTCTTGGAGGGCCAGCACAAACTGCAGGCGCGTTGTCGCACTCCACGTTCATTGTGCTTGTTTGATTCTCTCTCATTTCACGTGTTCCCGTGCAGGTCGAAAGCATCGCGAGGCCGAAAAGAGAAAAGGAGGCCCTAGCTGGGGGATGCTCAGAAGCATTGAACGCTGGCTTGAACTGGGTTCAAGCAGTTTGGATTAGAGGCTTGTTTGCAGACTTTGAATCCTCCGTTGGTCCATGATCAGCTTCTGCTCAGTTGCCTGTGCTATGGCCAGAGAACTCCTGGCAGGGCAACGTGGCCAAGGCACCTCCAACCTTTAGACACTGGTTGGTCGAGATCGAAAAGTTTATAATTACTCAATTGTTTTGTTCCAGTTGGACTTCGGAGCAAGCACAGCTGTTTGAATCCTGTTTCATACTGCTTCCATTCCAGTAGCTGCTTGTGGCAAACAAGTTCCCGCTTGATGAGATACCGGACGGGGTATTGTAAAGCTCTGCCAGAAGCGAATGGCTGCAAGCCTTCTG